AACGAATGAAAAGAGTATATTTAATACGCCCCATGCGTATGTGTTGATAAAGTTGATGTTTTCCTGGTAGAATTGAGTATTGAAAAGTTCCGCAACTGTTGCGTTAAGAACGTCATTAAACCTCCATCTGAAACTCTTACGGAAAAATTGCGGCGAGACGAGACCAAACGTCACCACGTATATCCCGATGACGACGTATTTCGTTGAAGATCTGGTGAAGATCCTGGATATATGAAAAGGGAAGCAGACGGCGACCGCGCGTTCTACGGCTATGAGAGTTGAGTGCCAGATGCTGATGGCTAACATGGTGCTAGTGAGCGGCATCACAAAAACTGACGAGATGGCGGACACAGTCATGGATAGCGGCAAGTCGAATTTTGAAAGGACGTTTTTTAGTTTACTAATGGGGAATAAGATTGAGACGATTAAATCTGTAATCGATAGGGAGATCAATATGATGTTGGTGGTGTCTTGAAACCCGTGCTGGCGTAGGACCAGGATGTTGCTGACGTTGCCCACGATACCGAGTAGAGAGAGGATGTAGACGAGGATAATGTTGGTCAGCAGATCGATGACGTACATGATGTCCACACCGGGCATTTTAAAGTTTGTGACGTCGACTAATGGGTGAGCGAAATTAAAAGTGTATTGTAATCTTATAATTTATATACACTTTTGCAAATAGTACTACACATAGTATAGTGAGTTCAAAGTAGTACTTTTAATGTACTTCTTGCTGACGACAGATTTATATGAATTATGTGGATATTACAGTAACATACTCATAATCACAATAAGGCGAATTGGCAGATTGGTAGCTCATCACTCACTAAGTCAGGCTGACTAGTAGCTAGACACTCACAAAGTCATTTTTAACTGATCTGGTAGCTAGACACTCACAAATTCAGGCTGACTGACACTCACAACGTCAGTATGACTTGTAGCTAGACACTCACAAAGTCAAGCTGACTGGTATATCACTTGCCACTAGTCACAACCGAGTTTCCTAACAGGTACTAAATCAAAAGCTCAACCGAAGAATCTTCTCGAAAAGAATTATCATTTCAAAGAAAGTTTGTGGTAAATTAGCGACTCATTATTCAATGTATTAAATTCAATTATTTTAAACCCTGCCTTTTATAAAATACTGAAATCTTTGTAGTTTGATAATATCCATTGTAAAGGGTAGTTGAAGTATCCATACACCCGTCAATAATTATCAAATCTCCAGCGTAATTTCTCATAATGAGCATCAATCCTTGTCTTCTAGAAACACATCAGATCTCATAAAGACAATTAACGTGTATTTTACGACGGACTTTAATTATCATGATGTCTGTTACGACCAATTAAAACTTAATTTTTACTTCTAATGTGAACATCTCAACGTATGAGTTTAACAGATCTACATTATAACTTTAATTTCGAAGTGAGGTGTAGTTTAGTCTAAGAACAAAGTCTAAGTAGTGCTAGCTTATTGGAAGATAATTCTCCTAACACTGCTAAATTTCACCTTACACAATTATGTTCAGAGAGTGTGGTAGCTGTTAGATGTCTAGCTTTGAAGTCATTAAAGAGATTCCTCATCCTATTAGCGATTGATTTTATACATACAATGGTGTTCTGAAACTTAATAGTGACAACGTCTACTTCTATTCTTTTAAAAATAAAAGATCTCATCTGCTTTGCAATTTTGTTGGGTTATAGATTTATAGAAAGAGAATCTTCTGAAAGCCTTTTCTTCATAAAATATAGAAAAAAAATTATATTATGAAAGTGTTATATTAATAAATCTAACTTAAAATATTTTAGTAGGTGAAACGTATGGAGAATATAAAATAAAGGAATACGATATTCAACATTCAAAAGGAAACTTAATATTTGTTTCGTTGTACAAGCAGTTTTTGGACGTCTTCAAGAGTTGTATAGACACGAACAGTAAATGACTGGCATATTTCAAACAGTTCAACAAAAACATTATACAAAAATTCAGAATTAATTTTTTTATATATTAAAAGTTTATTCTGAAAAACGTTTAAAGTGTTACATAGACCTACTAACCTACCATGTGTACTAAATGTACATCTCACCTCGCCATTGTACACTTGACAATAATACACACTTTTCAATGTCGCTGTTACATTTCTAAACACGCATACAACAATTGTATCTTACTGGAAGTGCGTGTGCTTGCATTCATTAAAATATATCTGGTCATATGTAAATATGCCTGCATATGCATAGTTTCAATGTAAATTTATATTTTTATACATAATCAGAGATGTTTACTGTAAGACCTATTGAACAATTGACACAATTTGTAAACCTAACGCCACTGTGCATTGTTCAAATAAAATAACTTTATAAATCATTTACTAAAGCATTAAAATTCTCTGACTGCATGTATGTTCGTTGTAAAACACTAGGAAGGCTAACTCTTCTGTGTGCTAGCTTTGAATGGAAACAAAGAAACCTAGTGACGTTTTTTCTTCCATATGACAAAGATTGTGTTTTATACTTTTAAAAATATGAGAGATGGAATTTGATGGATTCTGATTTTGTTATTGTTTTTCCTCGTGAAAATTGGAATCGTCGAGGAATTGTTACGATGTTAAGCTTTATTTCCTCTTTCTAAGTCCATTTTTCGAAATCGTGTACTTAGTTTTAGCACCTCAACAGTAAAGACGTACAATATATATATGCGATTTTGTCCAATAATATTAAGTATTTCGTGTCAACGTGTTATGTGCCATACGGCACGGATTCCAAATTCAGCCAGTTTTTCTTCTTCTATATTAAAATTTGCTTTCTTAGCCCTTGCCCATTTTGTTTTGATTTTGCTGTTCTCTCTCCTGGATGGGTTGCTGCCCGTATCTGATGAGCCTCATCTGCCCCGGGGTTCATACTCAAAAAAACTTCTCTTAGTTTACGTATTTCAGTGAGATTTGTATAGAAAATAGCATACAATACGACGTTTTTAAAATCCTTTTTCTATGCAACTCTTGTTCAAACTTTAGGTAAAGTGAGAACGTGCTAGGAGACACCGAAATGTTTTATTGTTTGCGTGCGATTTTCAACGGAAAAGTATTCACACCACTTTTCGCAAATTTTTTTTACGTTATTTGCTGTCACAAAATAAACAAGGACAAATGCATAATTTAACAAATAATCCAACGCTCTTTTCATAAAGGATAAGTTAATTGCAAATAAATGCCTAAAACCCAACTCTATTACATTTTTATATTATAAACACTGATCGGTAATATTTATTACGTTAAGCGGACATTTATTTAAAATCGGAAAATTATAATTCCATGGCACGCTTGTTGCATTGCACGAGGCGAAATATTTAAAATTACCAAAAATCAAACGAGACAAAATGACACATCCCACTTAATTTGTTGCTGGTCTTTACAAACACCGTGTGGGAGAAAATCATCGAAAAATTAATGTCGTTCACTACCGTTTATATTGGAGCAATGATATTTGTAAATACTGACATAATTTGTCTTACATGATTTATGTAAATACTGACATAATTTGTCTTACATGATTTATGTAAATACTGACATTATTTGTGTTACTGATTTATGTAAATACTGACATAATGTGTATTATATAAACACTGTGTTTATTTCTTTTGTTTCCCGGACGTATGAACTGCGTTAAGATAGGATTTTTTTATTTAACATTGGACAAAAATTAACAAACCTAACAACGTTAAATTTTCAAATAAGTTTTAAAATAAGTGAAAAAACACGTAAAATAGCCAGATATTTATAAAACAATATGGACTTAATTAATACAGTAAAAATTAAAAACGTAAAATAGCCAGATATTTATTAAACAAGATGGACTTAATGTAGTAAAAAAATGTAATCTAAAAACTTTAATATTTCCTTGACCTTCACGAGCTTTCATTTATTTTTTACTCTCTGCATATCTCGTCCTATAGCCAAACTCCTGTAGCCCAGTCAGCTAACTTTTACATGTCTCTAGTTTGATAAACATACACAGTTTACTCCCTTTGTCTTGTATAATTGTGTTACATTTGGTAAACATACACATACACATTTTACTTCCTTTAACGTCTATTGTATAGTTCAATGCTGAACCGAATAGTTTTGAAACGTTAATACTACATTATCAATGACAAATATAAAATTTAAAAATTCGTCCGTTACAAAACAAATAGCTAACTTTTAAATGAATTACACATTAAAACCTTGTTTATAAGCTGTACCATATAGGGACTTATAAACTATTTGGCCTAAAACTGAAATTATTCTAAATAATTTCATTTTAAATATTATATAGATATTGGTTTTAAATGTATAAATATGTTTATATTATATTATATGAAATATAAGGTTTTGTGTTGCTTATAATTTTTCGAAAATACTTACCATTAAAAAATCAATACACAATGGTTCTTAATTCAAAATAAAGTATCAGCCTAATGCAGTTTGAACGTGTGTTTTGTTATATGACCCAGCATGTGCAATGTGGTGTTTAAACACTAGTAATTGATTGACTAATTGATACTAATAAAACTATTTTATTTACAATTTATTGACATTTCTTTAAAATGAATTTTAACAAATAGCAGCAAAAATATATTTTTTCGGTCTTGTGAGTCGGTCAATGGTTTTATAATTTAAAATAAACTACGTGATAAAGATTTCATTTATTCAATTCACACTAGTGTACACTTTGTTTTAGTAAATCTAATGAAGCTACACAGCCAAGAATTATTTTTATATTTATTATTTCTCAATCATGACTTAAAAATTGACCTTTTAGCATAATTACAATAAATTTGTAAAAATATTTCAATTTAAATAATGATTGAAAAATAGAAAATATCCTATTTAAATTCAGTAATTTTATGAATTTGAAACACAACAATTTTTTAAGGTCTATAATTTATATTTTTTGCTACTTAATATAATTTAAATTTTTTGCTAACAAAATATGTTTATATAGCTATCAAAATAGAATTACCTTCGACATTTAAAAAGGCTTTTGAAAGCTGCAGCAAATTTAGAGCTCGTCTTGACCAGGATGATGAAGTTGACGCCGGCCCCGAACTGGTACAGCACGTGCTTGATGCTGGTCATCAGAGCACTCACCCTGGGTGGGGCGGCGCCGTAGAAGCTGTACATGTCCAGGACAGCTGTTGGCACCCACACGACAGCGGTCACCACGCAGACGGTCAGCAGCATCTTAAAGACCCGGAGTTCCTGCTCGCTGGACTTTGTGGTCTTGACGAACCTGCTCCGTAGCTTGACCACGATGAGGAGCGAGCTGAAACTGATGACGATAAGGGTGACGATGGACATGAGCGTGTTGAGGTACCCCCAGCCGTAGGTGCTGATGATGAAGTAGTTGTCGCGGTAAAATTGGGTGTACGTTTCCATGGCAACCGTCGCGTTGTAAGCGACGTCGAAAGCCCAGATGAAAGTCGTACGGTAAAACCACGGGGTCATCTGTGCGAAACTCAGGACGTAGATCCCGATGAGAATCTTTCGGGTAGATTTCGGTGAGAATATCTGTGAGACGTGAAGTGGGGAACTGACGGCGACCAACCTTTCGATGGAAACCACCGTCACCGTTAGGATACTCACGCCGAGCAGCGTGCTCGCTAGTGAGGACAGGAACACGCTGGTCATAGCCTGAAACGTTTTGGACAACGGGACGTCGAATTTAGCGAGCACGCACTTGAGCCTGGTCAGGAACATCAGCAGCGAATAACCCAAGTCGCTGAAAGACAACGACAGCAGCATGATGTTGGTGGTATTGTGGGACCCGCTGGACCGCAGCACCACTAAACTGATGATGTTCCCCACCACCCCGAGCAGAGAGAGACAGTATGAGAACACGCAGTTGCAGAGTAGGTCTAGGATGTAAAACTGGTCGGCTGTCAGATCGTAGGTTATTGCTATAGCTGCAGCCATTTCTGTTGAAACTCTTTGGTCAGTGAAGTTTATGGAGTACATCACTGTGACGTAAGCCATAAGTAATCTGGCAAGATTAAGACTTCATGTAACTAGTGAGAAAGACTTATTCTTCACAGATAAAGCATTTCATAATTTACGATACTTCAAACACAACTCTATTTTATCACTTTTATTTATCGATGGACGTTTTATTCACTGGTGTGACGACAGTTGTCTCCGTATTGCTGGTAAAGTCTTCTGCTTTCAAATATATTAAATGGGTAGCTTATACCGCAGTTAAAATAATTTTAAATTTAAATGTTTTCTATAATACATAAATATAAAGATGTCTTCGATCTCGTATTTCTAGTTATTAAACATCAATTTGTTGAATATTTGAATATGAATGTTTCACTTTTATTTATTTATTCTAGAGTGACTGTCGTGATTACATTTAAATATAATTTGACAATTTCGTACCGCAGTGTCATTAAATTCAATTATATATTTTCCGTGTAAATTTTTGACTCAAATGGTTATTTGTAGGAATCTAACAAAAGTTTAAAATATACTTTAAAAAAAACCTCTGATAAAGTATTAAATTACTCAAGAAAATCATACAAGCTAACACGTTTTTTGTAGAACTGCACTGCAAACGCAACTTAAAATAATCAATATTTGAGGTTGATTTCATTTATAAAATGATATTGTTTAATCCATTTACGATCGGAATTAAATAAATTTCTGGTAGATTTGATAGCTTCACACTCAAACCGTGAAATATTCAGCGACTAGAAAATTGTTTTGAAAATTAATACAATCAACCCAATCAAATGTTTTAGTAATTAGTTTAATTTTACTTTTTTATTACACGTGAGTAGTTCTCGTTCAATTAAATCACAATCAAAACAATTCAGATAATGTAGCACAAAGTGTTACAGTTTCACACTTATATTGACAATTTGATTTTTTTAGAAAAAAAAATGTCTTTCTTTCAGTGTTTTGGAAACGCAGTTTAAAAAAAAATATTTTGGCAAATTATGGTTGGTTTAATTTTTTTAGATTATATAATTAAGGCAGACACTTTGGTAATAAACCGGGAGTAATCTCCCCTAAACTTTCTCGAATATTCTTATATAACACTACGTGGGATGGCAACTCTGAATATAGACATGATTTTTAATTACTTAAACTTTTAAAAATAGAATAGAATCTCGTAGAAAAAGAATTGCGCACAAAGCGAACGCCAAAACAAAATGTGCATAATAGTGCGGAATATTAATAGTACTTTATAAATTTATATGCATTTTTTTGAGAAATCGGAAATAGCGTAAATTACTACTTCCGTTCATTTATCTATCTGAAATAGTACACAAGTTATAGGCTTTTGAAAAATTCAGAGTAGAAAAAGTACCACTTCTGGTTATCGGAAATCGCCCAAAAGCTGCCACGGATCTACGATTTTGATAAAATACTTATATATGAAATTTCATCAACCTAGCTGTAACGGTACTCAAGTTATCGTGCTTACAGACATACAGACAGACACACACACATACACACATACATACGGACAAGATTGCAAACATATGTTTTTCCGACTCAGGGAGGTGTAAAACGTCGATATTTGTAAAAATCTCAATTTTTTTGCACGATTTTTTACAAGACTTTCTCTATACTTCGTTTATACGAGAAAGTAAAAAAAAAAAAACAAATATATATAACAGTTAATATTGTGTATAACCTTTATTTTTATTTTGACTACACCAGACGTGGATAAATTATATAATTAGAGATTAGGTAATATATTCTCCTGTATTATACACTACCAAAACCACGTTTTTTTTTTAAATTTTGTATTTTTTTTAAAAATCAAAATAGACATGATCTTTCATTGGTGAGGCTGGCAAATTTCATTTAGAAATTTCTTTCCCTGTTTTTAGATAGCAAAGTTATAAAACGATAATATTAAAACGTAAATTAAGCAGAAGTTTTTAAAAGTATTATTATTATCATTAGATCTCAATAGAGTAACAACATACTGGATCTAAAATATATCAATTGCAGCTTGATACAGATCAAATTTTAAAATACTTCCCTTTTTAATTAAAGCAATTTCGTATTGAACGTGCATCAGTCTGTCATTTTATTGTTCATCCAGACTTCTCTTCATCTTCTTCGTTCTTAATTTTTAGTGTTGGAATGGATCGAGCCTTATCTGCTAGAGGGTTTGAACTCGAGACTTTTTCGAATTTTATCAACTATGAGCTTTTTGCCGACTCGACCACGCCTCCATCACAATTAAGGATACGTGTCAACTGGTTATGCGCCATTGAGGCCATTGACTCCGATTTCAGCCTGCTTTTCTATTTGGATTTGCTTCCATAGCCTTTGTCTAACCAAGAACAAACTACAAGGCAGCAGTTGTTTGATTTTGGAGTTGTCTCTCCTAGAAGAGTGGCTGTCCCCAGCTAACGAGCCTTATCTGCCCGAGGGTTCGAACTCGTGACTTTTTGGTTTAGCAACCATGAGCTTTTACCGACTCGACCACGCCGACCCCCAGACTGTCTTTTGGGCTTCCTGTAAGTAACGCGTGCTGGGTTTGGTGTATTGTGGTTGTGTAGGTGCTTGTATATTTGGTGTGTTGGCGCTTTTCACAGAGAAGATTAAAAACAAGTTATTTATAGAAAAGTACATATAATTTTAAAATACTTAAATATTATGTAAACATGATTAATTCAAATTTTTTTTAAATCTACCTTTTAAAGTCAAGTTTTGGGAATTATCATCATAGCTGAGAAACAAAGTCAGCGACAACTTTTAGAAATAGAAACAATTTTCGTTTGGCAGTAACATAGCTGTTTGTAAGTCGCCGCAAACTTAGAACTAGTTCTGACGAATATGAGGAAGTTGATGCCGCAGCTGAACTCATACAAGACGTGCTTCACGCTGTTCAAGACAATCAGTGTCTTCTCGGGGGCCGTGCCGTAGAAGTGATACATGTCTATGACGGCAGTCGGCACCCACACGACGAAAGTGATGATGCAGACGAGCAACAACATTTTGAACACCTTCATTTCTTTTGGGTTTGATTTCGTTGGTATGGCGGTCCGGTGTTGGAGCTGTACGACGATGACGGCTGAACAGACGCTGATGATGATTAACGTGACGACGGAGCAGAAGACGTTGAGGAAACCCCAGACGTACGTGCCGATTGCGTACCTGTTGTCGCGGTAAAACGGCGTTTCCGTTTCCATAGCAACCGTCGTGTTGTTCGTGAAAGTCCAGACGTAACTCGCGTGGAAAAACCAAGGAGACATGAGACCGAACGCTACCAGGTAGGTTACAAAAACAACCCGCTTGGTTGATTCAGGTGTGAATATTCTCGCTACATGCAAAGGAAAACTCACAGCTATTAGTCTTTCCACGGAGATGACGGTGACCGTAAAAATACTGGATACAATCATCGTGCTCGCTAGTGAGGACAAGAACACACTAGTAAATGTTTGATAGGTTGTGGAGCACGGGACGTAAAGCCTCGACAAGACACATTTCAGTTTAATGAAGAACATTAGGAAAGAATACATGAAGTCACTAAAAGACAGAGATATCAACATGAGGTTCGTCGTACTGTTGCGGCCGTTACGAAATAAAACGACCAGGTTGATTACGTTTCCCACAATTCCAGCCACAGCTAGGATATGAAACCCAATGCAGCCAAAGAGAAGGTCCAGAATATAGAATGCTTCGTGACCGAGGTCTTTGATCACATTTTCTCTGAACTCTACATCGTTGTTGTCTCCATCAATAAAATACGTCAAGTTTATTTTAAAACCTTTGGCCATTTGTAGAGTTGACGAGGTTCAATTGAATTGATAAAAGGAGTATCACCTAGTTGGTTAAAAATTGGACTGTTTTAACGTAAAGAAAATGTAATTTCTAGCATACAATATGAAACGTGCATCTAATACCATTGTCTTTTTTATATTGGTTTGTTATAAACATGGTGTACGGCTTTTTTTAAAAATGAAATTCTTAGAAATTAGCTGGAAAGTTATTAATGGCCGCATGGTAAATTTCAAATTCAATTTTGCAATTTTCCTCACGTTTATTTTACAACAGGTCGATTAAAAAAACACAAAGAACTGACAAAACTGAAAAAAATATAAACAATTTAACCACTTGTGTTGATCCTTATGATACAAAGTGTTCAGATAATCACATTTTAACAGCTTTCCATTCATAACGATAACTAAAGATGTACTTACTGTCGATCAATGAACATTTTGTGTTCAGACTATTTTATTAAAAATTACTTATTCGTTTTATACAAAATTACTTCTTTCGAAAAAACAAAGAAAATACCATCAGTAAAGAAGGAAAACCGTGGTTCCAATTTATTTGATTAACAAAATAGTGTAGCGGGTTTAACCAATAGATAATAACATACTGAAGTTTCGCTACATACAAACTCCGGTGACAATTTCAGGCAAAATATTTAATTTTTTATTCTGTAATAACCCTGTAACCAGGAAGCAATAAGACTAAAATTAATCGACCGGTAGAAAATATTAGCGCTTGAGAGTTTTTCCAAAAGATATTGTAGTTTAGAATACATTCCAGTAATACTATTAGTAGAATGCATTATGTTTCTTAAATGTCCTCACTCTATTGTTAAAAACAGCATCACTTTATTTATACAATTGATTTCTTTGCTCGAACATTTCAATTATGATGCTGTAGTTTAAGAGTAAAAGTCTTATAAATCTTTGATTGTTTTTTTTAGTAAGTTCTAGACTTGTTTAGGGTAAGTAATGCCCAGACGACAGTACTGTAACAAAAAGTTTCGAAAGATACAAAATAAAACAAGAAATAACAGTTAGACATATACAGATCGCATTTAAAAAAAAATTAAAATGATCATACCGGTATAAAACACAGTATTTGTATGATGAAGATATAAAACAATTGAATACATTAACAAAATATTTATGTTGGTCTCATATCAGACATTATTTATATTTTGAAATCAATAAATTTAAAACTTTCTACAGATGTTCATCTCTAGTCGGGAATTC